AAAAAAAATAATCAAATCACTGAAAACCAGAGACAAAGAGAAAATCCTAAAAGCATCAAGAGAAGATGATTCTGCCATGGAAAAGAGATCTGCAACAGGATTAGCAATATGTTTTGAGCAAAAAGTTTGGAAGCTAGAAGCTGGTAGTATGACAGATTTTAAATCCTAGGGAAAAAAAAATCCCACCAACTGAAAATCTAGATCCCACAAAATGTTCTTGATGATGAAGAGATGTGGCTGGGGAGATAGCTCAGTGGAATAAGCGCTTCCCTGGCAAGCGCAAGGGCCTGAGTTCAATCCCTGGTTTCACCAAAAAAGAAGACGAAGACAAAGACAACGAAGATTTTGATGAGGAGGAGATAATGGGGGCTGAGGAGATAGCTCAGGGAACTAAGCGTCTGCTTAGGTGAGCTTAGGCAAGTGCAGGAACCGAGGTTGGATCCTAGGCACCTCATGCCATGCCAGCCCCACTCCAGCAAGGGCTGTGCTGGCCACACATGTAATCCAGCACTAGAAAGGCTGAAACCAGAAGGATCAGCATGAGGCCAAGCTGCCTAGTGGGACCCTGTAAGAACAAAATGTATAATAATGATAACTAACAATAATATAAATTCAACAAAGGTTGCATTTCCTATTGTGTTCATAGAAAACCGATATGTATGTAGGACATGAGGACCACACTTTGGACCATTTTGACCCAATGAATATACATACAACACTCCACTGGACACCAGGAGAATAGAGATTTTTCTCAAGTGTGCTATGGGGACAGAGGTTCAGATCTGGGTGGGAAAACTCTGGAAGTAGATAAGGGGACTGGTAGAACAACGGTGTGAATGCACTTAGTACCTCTGTAGTGTTCACTGAGAGTGGGGAAAGCTGTAGATATTTAATATTACATCAGGTTGAATTTTAAGAAAACATGACAGTGAAAACAGAGACAGAGGGTGGAGTTGGGAAGAGTGAAGGACAAAGAGAGAAAGGAAATGGAAGAGATGGGTAAGTGAGAGAAGCAAAGAGAGGCAAGAGAGGATGCAGTTGAGAGCAAAGACAAAAGTGGCCAGGGCAGCCAGAAGTGTGCTTCTCAGGAAGACAATCAACCCTGACCTGTTTCTCAATCCTCCAGGATGTCATGGATTATATTTGCCTTTGTCTCTAATCTTTTGATGACCTATAAGGTCAGGGATAGACACAGCACGAGTTCGAGGACAGCGGCATCTCAGAGGTTCTCCTAAATATTTTGTCCTTTTCAGTTCACCAAAGTCACAGAGAAGGTCCCCCAGAGCAATCACAGGATGGAGTACGTGCCCTTCCCAGATCACAAGCCGGACCACATCTCCAGGTGGTATGGGAAGAGGAGAGTTGAGGTAAGAGGGTGCAGGGCCGCACCCAGAGACGT